TTTAAGGTAATTCTAAGGTAATAAAATGGCATCGAAGGAGTGGCTATTGGGGGAGGATGGAGGCCAATTAAAAAAATAAAATAAATAAATAAAAAATTAGTAGTAGTAGTAGTAGTGGTGGTGGTGGTGGTGGTGGTGGTGGTGGTGGTGGTGGTGGTGGTGGTGGTGGTGGTGGTGGTGGTGGTGGTGGTGGTGGTGGTGGTGGTGGTGGTGGTGGTGGTGGTGGTGTACTATAAGTATTCCACTTGAAAAATAATCGTGAAAGGAGTATACAGGATCAAAGCTAATTCCTCTAAGCCTGATTAGTAACTTCCTAAAGCCCTCAAACCCTTTAGTAGGCCTGAGATACCTTCAAGAGCTCTGAGATACTCCCAAGAACTCTTTGAAACATCCAAGAGCTCTGAGAAATGTCTACGAAATTCGCCATGGTTGTCAATTCCTCCAAGACAGCAGAACTTGTGGTGAAATTCCTGTCAAATGGGCCCCTAGTCCTCACGGGTCGAAATATAACTGGACCCCCAATCTAATCTAACCAAATCATTAGAACTGGGACCTAATTCCTAATAGGTCCTAAGTTACATGAGCTTAAATTCTAATGCTTAACTCATGTTGAATCAGGTTCGGTTGAGTTAGGTTGGGCTCTAACATGACTGGGTCTTCAAATGACCTGTAACACACCTGTTGATGCCACATAAATCACGGTCATGTAGTAGGGATGGGGGTGAGGGAGGAAAGGAGGGGTGAGGGAGGAAGAATAGAGGGAGAAAGGGAAGGGGGGTTAAGAGGTGAGCGAGGTAAAGGGGTGAGGTGGAGAAGGAGGGGATGAGGAAGGAGGTGGGGGGGGGTAAGGAAGGAAGTGGAAGTGACGGAGAAGGGGGATGAGCACCTTAAAAATTAAAGTCTAGTACATCGATGGCAGGCCCTGATTGTGAAACGTCATATTAGGGTTTTAATGTTGGCACGATACTGATACAGTGTGTGTGTGTGTGTGTGTGTGTGTGTGTGTGTGTGTCAGTCGAAAAACTCTCTCTCTCTCCAAAACAATACCGCCAGACTTCAGGCATGACAATCGAGTCCAGAATTAAAGCAGCAATCCACACACGACACTCAAGGCTCCCCCACACACCTTTACCTGAGTATTATAAAGCCACGTATTGACTAATCTAACCTCTTGTAAACCAGATGAAAAAAAATATTTATAATGTTGTAATCTCTCTCTCTCTCTCTCTCTCTCTCTCTCTCTCCTATGCTACTGTTCAATAAATAAGTTTCGGGATATATGAGAAGCTGATTCATCTACACATCAACTTTAACCACTGGGGCAGTACAGTACAACATATACGTCACCTAAACTAACTTCACCTAACGTTTACGTAACAAACTAACATATCGTAATGTAGCTTAACCAATCCTATTCTAATGCAACTGAACCGAAGTTATCCTAACCTAACCTAGTCTAACCTAACCTAACCTAACCTAACCTTACCTAATATAACCTAACCTAACCTAACCTAACCTGACCTGACCTAACCTAACCTAACCTAACCTAACCTAACCTAACCTAACCTAGTCTAACGTAACCAAATTTAGCCTAATATATCCTAATCTAGGCTTAATAACCTGACCTAATTTGGCTTAACCTAGCTAAATTAACCTGATCTTTAACTTTATTTCACACTTCCAAATTTAACCTAACTTACCGTAACTTACCTCTCAACCAAAGCTAAATCAACCAAACTCAACCTTACCAACCCTACTCAATAACTGAACATGTCCGCCATCTCTACTATTAAAACTCACATAGTTACGTTCGCAATAATAACAATCTTCTTGAACATTTACACAATATAAACTAGGGCCTGTGATATAAGGAAATTTAAGAGGGATATTTCTTAAACACGTGTGAATCAGCTGTTAAAAGCACGAGGCTCAGCACTGGGCTCTCGTTCACTCCCACACACTAATGAAGCTTGAGCCGCCTAGTGAAGCTTACTGTTTAAAATTACTAACACTGGTTAACTCAGCTAAATGTTACTGATTACCTCAGCTACCTGGCTTAGGTGTTAGAACCCTACCTGCTATCCTCAACTCCCACTTTCAATACTGCATTCAAGAAATACTATTCCAGTGTTTGAATTCACGATACAGGATATTCAATTCAAGAGATATAAAAAAAAATTCTAATTTCACTTGATATCCAAACTAATATGCAGGAAATATGCACAAATGACTTGAATTCGCAATAAAACACGACAAAATTGTTCAAATAACCATAAATATTCCATTTTAACATTGTCTAAATTTATAAAACGTAGCAGAAGTTTTTGGACAACACGAGGAGGCAGGATAGTGTATACAGTATATTTGTTCGGTCTGTTATTAGTTTTACTTTATTTTAGTAAACCCAAAATTCCGTACATATTGTGTGCATGAAAAAAAATAACAATTAAACACCACGACTTAAACCAACCCTGTTTTAACTGTCAGGGGTATATGTACCGTTTGATCTGTTATGTAAGTTAGGTTAGCTTAAATTGGGGTTATGTTCCTGTAGTTTAGGTTATGTAGGCTTAAGCTATGGTTGGATTAAGTTATATTAGAGTATGGTTAGGTTACTTTAATTTGAGGTCATGTTAGGTTAGGTCGTGTAAGGTTTAGGTTAGGTTGGGTTAGGTTAGGTTTTGGTAAGCTTGTTAGAATTATTAGTTAACTCTAGATTAAGTTAGGTTAGGGTAAAGCTAACTCTCAAAGACTATGGGTCATGTAAAGGTTAGTTTAGTTCCACGTAAAGTTTAAGTTAGCTCTAAGTAAAGTTGACACACGGTGAAGTTAGGTTAGGTCTGACTATGCTACGTTGTCCACCACAAAATTTTTGGTTATGTGGGAAAAAATATTATACCTGTACTCGTGAGTGGCCCAGCGCCAAGGACAACCTGTGTGTGTGTGTGTGTGTGTGTGTGTGTGTGTGTGTTTTCACTGATAACAATAGTTCCATCACGCTGCTTTTGTAATTGTTCATATATATAGTTTGCAGCTCCGCCACTCCATCAGTCGAGGGAAACGGTTGTCTTTTTTTTTCATTATTTCGTGAGTAAAACTGAACGAGATATAACGATAATTACTCTCTCTCTCTCTTAACACATGCACCCATGTTTACATACACGAATATGAACTCAAATACACAGGCACAACATAACACACTCCAACAAACAAACGTAAATAACCACACACACACACACACACACACACACACACACACACACACACACACACACACACACACACACACACACACACACACACACACACACACACACACACACACATTCTTAGTTGCATATAAAAACAGACACATACAAGACAAACAGAAACACACAGTCTCACGAGGACCCTGAAGAAATGAAACTCTTCTCTTAATATTCATTTCTAAAGAGGAGGAAAAACTATTGAAAACAGTTATGGTGAGTTTTTTGTGTCTAGCTTCAGGTGGTGCAGCTCGGCGGTGTATCGAAGAATAGTTTCTGATAATGAAAAGCGACCGCCCCTACAGACAGACAGACAGACAGACAGACAGACAGACAGACAGACAGACAGACAGACAGACAGACAACAAAGAGTATTCTTGATATAGCCGGGGACTAAAGACAATATAATAATTATGGTAAATGTTATCGGAAAACAATTTAATTATCAGCAATACATCGGCATTGTTCTAAGTCGGATTATGATCGGCACGAAAGATCATAATAATAATAATAATAATAATAATAATAATAATAATAATAATAATAATAGTAATAGTAATAGTAATAATAATAATAATAATAATAATAATAATAATAATAATAATAATAATAATAATAGTAATAGTAATAGTAATAGTAATAATAATAATAATAATAATAATAATAATAATAATAATAATAATAATTAAACCATTCAAAATACCTAAACGTCTTAAACATCTTAAAATAACAGATCACCATCAAGGTTTAACTAACATCCCGGGTATGAACGTGGATGATAACACCACTATAACACCGCTCAAAGTTATCTTGGGATTAATACTACTGAACCAAGTACATCGTCAGGTTACCAAACCGCCACATATTGACGGAGAAAGACGAACACAATAACAATACAGCTCTTACCCTGATGTTAGCACAGTATGACAGGATCTGATCTGAGGCCAATGCACCACCAGTGTTTGTTTACCTCTGCAGTAGGTCGGTTACAACACAACATCTTCACCACACGCTTCAGCAATATGATTATAATATCCATTGATTATTTTAGTTGGTGAACGCGGTATGCCACGACCCCTTAAAAAACTCCTGAGTACACGCAGTTAAAGTGTAGAGGGAAGTTTGAAGAATATAATGGTACAATAAATGTCTCAAGCCACTTTGTCGCCCGGAGCGTCTCCTATATGACGAGAGAAGAGAAGAGGCTCACAGACAAGGGGCCTCTAAACAGCTCTCAAGAATTATACCATCCTTAATTTTTGACAACTGTTGTATAGTTTAGGACCTACTTCAGAGTACGTGCTTAAAGACCTTAGTAGTTGAAGCACAGAAACAACAACAAGAACAGCTGAGTTACGGACCAAAATAAGTCCAAGACTACAATATAAATCTGACATCCACTACAGGTTTAGGTTGAGGTCAAATGTCAAATTCAAATAATTAGTAAACTGGGTTTTTTCTTGGGAAATATAAATACTTCGTTGAAACATTTCCGTATTCATGGACTTATTCTTTCGCTTTAGTGTCAGCTAAAAACATGGACGTGTTCTTGTACCAAATATTCCGTATAAGAAAAATAATTAAAGGTTAAATATCAAATGTAAGCAGCAGTTGCAGCGACTTACTCACAAACCCTTTGATCTCAGCAAAAAATATTTAATAATCAGATTTAAAAAAAAAATCGAATGTAAATTAAAATTCCAAGAATGTGATACACCCTGTACGTGCAATAAAAAAAGAGCAGCTGTGACTGACCTGTAAACCCTTTGATGTCAGCGAAGAGTATGGAGACGTTCTCGTATCGGTGGATGTAGATCTTGTGGAACTGTGAGGGCTGGAACTCACCCCGTTCGTCCTCCCGCGCTATGTCCCGGATCATCTCCAACGCCACGAACCTCGGCAGTACTGTGGACGACAGAAAAACAAATCAATATGAAAAGCTTCTAAATATTTAAATACAGCTTGATGCAGAAACTAAGACCTTTCTGTCTCTCTCGCTATACCCAGCTTCGCCCACATTAACCCATTCTACTCCAACGTGTTCCCAGCTTCGCCCACATTAACCCATTCTACTCCAACGTGTTCCCAGCTTCGCCCACATTAACCCATTCTACTCCAACGTGTTCCCAGCTTCGCCCACATTAACCCATTCTACTCCAACGTGTTTAAATCTAACCCTACCAAAATTATCTTAACATAAACTAACCTAACATAACCCATCCCAACATAATCTAACCTATCCCGACCCAACAACAGCCTAAACCTAGCCAAATTTACTACAACTTATCCTTATGTAACCTAATCCAACCTAACATAACCTATCCTAACCTAACCTAACCTAACCTAACTAACCCTATTTCCTTTCGCTATTTCATGAAATTTACTACAACTTACTTATCTTACAGCAACCTAATCCCAGCCTAACCTAGCCTAACCCTAACCTAACCTAACCCAACCTACTTCTTGCCTAACCTAACCTAACCTAACCTAACCTAACCTAACCTAACCCTGTCCTAACCTAATAACCTACTTCTTCTTACAATCAACCTAACATAAGCCTAACCTACTTGAAGCCTATTTTACTCATATTTGAGAGCCCAATATATAGACAAAATTCGAAATAAAGTTCGTCTGGCTTAACTCTCATATGTGTCCAGTCATAAAAGAACGCCAGTGCAAGCAAAACATTGGGCGATCGCCAAGGTAGTTAGCAGCACAATGCACTGTCATACTGGGGAATTGGAAAACGCCATCCTTTAGCTAAGACACATTTTTCGGCGATGATATGGCAGAACAGAGTGGTATTAACCACAGAGACAGTAATGGACAGTGACCCAACCACAGAGACAGTAGAGGACAGTGACCCAACCACAGAGACAGTAATGGACAGTGACCCAACCACAGAGACAGTGATGGACAGTGACCCAACCACAGAGACAGTAGAGGACAGTGACCCAACCACAGAGACAGTGAGAGCCGGAACGGGGACATTAGAGCCACTGAATGAGAAAAAAAGCTTCACTGTTCTCTGTGGCCAAAGTAAAGACAATTACTACGATGCGTTTTAAGTTCTTGGATTGCACCCACGACCTCAAGAGGAACTGTAAACTGTCTAGAGGTCTCGTTTGATACTGATGGATGAGGAGGCCCGGGTAGTGTGTCAACAGACCCGACCATCCCATCACACTGTGGTAGTTTCATACTTCCCCTGACTCAGCTATGGAACAACAGTCAACAGTTGTGTCAATATTTAGGTAGAAAGATGGAAACTGTATTGGAGTGTGAATACAATGGGCAAGACTAATAGACTCGGTGTTGACAATAGAACTAGAACATTGTATCCTCGCCATATGTAGGTATTGGGCAGCTATCAAACAGGGAGGTACTACCGCCTGAGAAGATATTGGAAGCATAATGTCTTGTCTAATGGTAGACCCTGCTGCCATTTGGCCTGGGGTGGGTCAGTGTGATGGTGGGCCTGGGGTGGGTCAGTGTGATGGTAGGCCTGGGGTGGGTCAGTGTGATGGTGGGCCTGGGTGGGTCAGTGTGATGGTGAGCCTGGGTTGGAACTCAGTGTGATGAGTGGGCCTGGGGTGGAGTCAGTGTGATGGTGGCCTGGGGTGGGTCAGTGTGATGGTGGGCCTGGGGTGGGTCAGTGTGATGGTAGGCCTGGGGTGGGTCAGTGTGATGGTGGGCCTGGGTGGGTCAGTGTGATGGTGAGCCTGGGTTGGGTAAGGAGAGCCACCCGCCGTCAAGTAAGGGTGGACCGGGCTGTTTAACCTCCACCATCAGTGTTCCGTGATAACTGTACTGTACATCCCACAACGCCTCAACAAGATATATTATTCCAAGACATTTTTAAACTCCTGATGTTGATATAAAGATGGACTCCTGAATTGCCAAAGTGACGCGCGGATTTAGATATGTTTGTCCAATAATGTGTGTATTTGGGTTATCAAAGAGAGTCGTTTGTACACATCACCGCTCGCGTATACAGCATTATAGATGTCAATATGGGACAAATTCATCAGATAGAGTCAATGAACGATAAAGAGTTGTAGTTTCATCTATGTATTAAAGTTATCCACGTCTATGTATTTTCATTTAGAATCTACTTATCCTAATGTTAATTGTTATTGTTTTACACTGAGAGGAATAATTCGACATCTGCCCACGGTGAGGAGTTACTTGTTAGGTGAGGCGCCAGAGATTAAATTCTTGTTGTGCTCTTCAGTGTACGTCTGGTGTCATCATCCTCTGCCTGGGGAAGTCGCCCACACTTGAAGGGGATATATGAACACATTCTACCTGTTTGTTCGTGTGGGTTTTGTTCTCCTGAATTAACTATAAACTGACATTTTAACACTTCATAAAAGCTTGTTTCCTGATAAAGTTTATGGTAAAAAATGTGTTTTATTGCAAAAGAAAATCTAACTTCAATATTGTTTATGTAACGAGAGAAACAGATGACTGTGTGTTTGTTTTGGTACTTGCAACTACACGGGTTTGTAGCAGGTCGAGAGTATTATACACTTGTACAGTCAACAAAAATAAATTGTCTGCATCTTTAAGGTGTTTTACAATATGGCACACTGGACCAAGAATTCGGGGTATTATTACAATTTCACCTCTACTTGGGTTAGAACAATTTTGGGCTTACCAGAAGTTATATCTCGTCAACTGCAACAACTTTTTCTAATATCACTTCCGTCGCAAATGGATAATAACCGAGTTGGTAAATTCACGTATGAGGTTAAGGGAAATCTGCAGTCATTGTGTGTGCATTAGCCCCTAAGTCTTTACATAAATGTGGGGTGGTACATTAAGCTTATATAATCATATCACCCCCCTGTAACTTTCCACTAGCTATGAGGTGACATGGACTCATCACGTGGGGGGTAGGTTCCACCCTTGAGGCGGGACCCTAAAATGCTAGGTCAGCTAATAGAAGCCGGCTAGCGAGTCAGGTCACTCCCACTCTCACATCAATCGGACGTATTTAGTAAAGCTAGTATAAGATAGCCTCCGTCCTTATTTAACACTCATAGCTACAGTGATTAAGTTATGGTGACAAAATATGAGTAACTAAATGTCAACACTGAGAGATACAGGCCACAAGGGTTAAAGTAAGAAGGACCTGTGTGTGTATGACTCACTATGTCAAGCAACGTCACCCAAGAATGGATAGAGTTACGGCGTTCATAGTTGGCAGAAATATTAAACAAATCACTCTCAACAACCATCAAATATCGACAGTCATAAAGGTCAAAGGTCAAGGTCATAACTGTCATTAGTGTACACACGCCCCAAAAAGTATCATTGCAATTTGGTGATAGACAACATAACACAATGAACGAATAATTTTGACAACCCTACTGAGACAACAGGAATGGCAGTGTTCGTTTTGAAATTCATCGACCCCTCCGTAAAGTTAAGTTTTGAAGCGAGCCTCCCCCTCCCCCCAGCACTAAAATGATAAAAGTCCTTTGTTTGTGTCTGGACTCTCACATACTGTTGAGTCACCCACCTCACCTGCCTCGCTCACTACCCATCAACAATAATGAAGGTGCTGTTATATTCCTGATATCTCTATTATCAAGGGATTAATGACAACAGTTCCTCCCCTTTCATTACCGACAACTGGAAAGGAATACATAACGAGGAAGATAACATTATGGTATTGATCTTAAGGTTATTACCAAGTTGGCGTCTAGGGTGTACTGCATTATTACTGTACGTTACCTGGCGAGATCCTCCCTCACATCGTTAATTACCTGCTGGAACCACCTTAGTAACACCCAGGATGGTGTGTGTGTGTGTGTGTGTGTGTGTGTGTTTATTACCATGTAATTGTTTGTGATTATATGTATTCTCCCCCACCCCAACCATCTTCCCCCTCCACCCTCACCCCTACCATCCTCCTCCACCCTCACCTCTACCATCCTCCTCCACCCTCACCCCTACCATCCTCCCCCTCCCCCTCACCCCCACCATCCTCCTCCTCTTCCCTCACCCACATAATCCTCCTCCTCCTCCTCCTCCACCCCCACCATCCTCCTTCCACCCTCACCCCCAACATCCTCCTTCCCTCACCCACATAATCCTCCTCCTCCACCCCCCCACCCCCACCATCCTCCTCCACCCCTCACCCCCACCATCCTCCCCTCCACCCCTCACCCCTACCATCCTCCTCCACCCTCACCCCCACCATCCTCCTCCACCCTCACCCCCACCATCCTCCCCCTCTACCCCCACCCCACCATCCTCCTCCACCCTCACCCCCCACCATCATCCTCCTCCACCCTCACCCCCCCATCATCCTCCTCCACCTCACCCCCACCATCCTCCTCCACCCTCACCCCCACCATCCTCCTCTTCCCCACCTTCCCCGTGTTCAGAATCAGTGGCAGTAATCAGTACGGTACGACAACTTTTCCCTGACTGGCAGCACGCGTCATTACACACAACAAATTAGCACTGTCAGCCGTTCAATGTAAATGGCTCTGGCAGCTGTAAAGATAAGGCTGTTAAGGGATGATTAGATACTAGCTTGTTTAAAATCGACGTAAGTATATACAGAAGTTAATACACGAAATAATAGTATGTAATGGTATGTTCTTGAGTCATATCTTTCTCACTGACTGACGCACATGAACTGAACCATATATGTAACAGTACGTTCATAAATCGTGTACAGATATTGACTGAAATACAAACAAAATGTATCCCCCCTTCCCTCCCACCCACCGCGGCCAGCAACAGTTTCTCCACAAAACAGAAACATAAATAATATTAATAATTCCAGCCATCAATTCCCACAAACTGAAACATTTCCGTAACCTCAATTTTACAAAAAACTCTATATATGTCTTTCTCTACAGCCCCCAGCTGAAGATTAACCACCC